GCAACCTTCGCACCAGGCAGGCAAGTGACCATATGGTTCTCCCGGTCATCACAAACCCAACTATTTATGTTTCTAACAATCGAATCACCCACTACTAACACCTGCCTCTTCCTAACTGGCATTCCCTCCCCCTCAGAGGTATCCTCAGTGCGAGAGAATACCGCAACATCCTCTGGGAGGAGGGTCCCAACTACGGGATGGTTTCCCCTCTGCTCCCATTGAATGCCCTGTTCCCTTGAGGCTTTCATCCCCCTTAAGAGCACTAGGGCTCTCAGACTGGAGGTGGGACAGTACTACAGTGTCCCGGAAAGACTCATCAACATAGCTCTCTACCTCCCTTAGCTCCTCCAGTTCAGCCACCCTGAACTCCAAAGCCCAAACTCTGTCTCTGAGCATCAGGAGCTCCTTGCAACGAGTGCACATACACGCCACCCATCCACAGGGCAGGTAATCATACATGTTACACTTGACGCAATAAACAGGATAGCCCCCACTCTGCTGCTGGGCTTCTGTCTGCATTTTTCTAATAAGTTTAGGTGTAAATGGGATTCTTTTTAAACCTCTGGAATATAGATTCTTCTAAGAGTTATGTTTTAAAGAAGGTCCGAAGTCACTAGTGCCCTCTAACCTCCCTCTCCAAACTCTCCTGTTAGCTGTTCCTGTTGGCCCGACTTGCCCCAGTAAGCGTCTCCCAGCCATAGCCTGCCTCTGGTATCCCAGCCCCTCCAGCTTTGTCCCTTTCTTCACACAACCAAAACCCACTGCCCCCTTCCTGGACTCTGTACAACCTCCTTCTGTCCTAGGTCACAACCCAAATCCCTGCACCCCAGTCTACTGCCCTAGGTCACAGCTCCCTTCCACATCCCACATCTGCTTCTACATGCTAATCCCTTACCCAAGCTTCCTCCTGCATGCCACCACCATTCCAGATTCTGCATCTCTGCCTTATTGAAACGTGTGCCCTTGACCTCTTTCCAGATTCTTGGAATTCCCCTCCCCCCCATCAAAAATTATAGCCATAGATTGGGGTGGGCAATGTCTAGACTGCAGAGTTATTGGAAAAGGATACACAGATTGTATATCGCAAACCGCGTGTCTTTTTCCCCTTTTTTCCCAGAAGAGGCTTTTCTGAAATTTGGCCCATCTACATGGGCCAAGTTTTGGAAAAACTTCCTCTTCCAGAACATTCCTTGTATTCCTCTCACGGAGAGGAATACAGGGTTGCCAAAAGAATGTGGCTGCTTTTTCAGAAACAGTTCTGAAAAAGTAGATGCATTCCTTGGACACGGCAGAGCTTTTCTGGTATACCACCCGTATCCCAGAAAAACTCTTCAGCCTCGATACAGCCTTTATAAAGTTCTGTCGCTATACTTTAAGACTATGCAATTTGAATTTTGGGATGGAATTACCAGAAATAAAAATAACTCCTCTAAATACGGTATAACAATGTAAGGCTGCGGCAAAACTTCCTCTCCCACACTGGAACTGCCAGCCTGGCGCCCAGGAAGGTTTTACTGTGGGTTCTGCAGTATAAAGCTTATTTAAGCTTTATACATGTGCTGTGGGCTCTGCAGTAACAGCTAAAAATCTTAGTTTTATCTAGGGATGTAAAAAGTCAGTTTAAAAAGAGAAGCATGTAACATTGTGAAATCTAAGCCCTCAGCTCATCTTGGGCATCACAATCAGATTGCACCAAGTGTTTAATGTTCTCATGCTTCTTTCACTGGCTCTGAAATCCTGAGGTTGATAAGTAATGGGCAATAGGTTGCTGCCTGAAGGAAGATTGGTCTTATTTCCTTCTTGGAACTGGAATTCAGTCACCTTGGAGTCCTTTAGTAAATGGAGGGCCTCTCATATTGGAACTAAAAGTTAATTTACCCTCAGTGAAGAGCCTCAATTGTCATTTGAAC